TTTTAGAATTTACGTTTGAAACAAGAATTGAAAGATTTGGAAGAGGGTAACGCTCAGCCGGGAGCGGTTAGTGCTGGTATGGTGGCTGCGAATCGAGATTTTGCTGAGGTTATTTGTTTGATTATTTGATGTGCTGTTCTTGGATGCTATTTATTCATGTATTTATTGATCACTGAAAGGTGCAATTGGCAATAGTGTTAGCGATTTTTCATGCCCGATCTGTTCAATTTGTTCAGTGGATTTGTAGAAGTCATAGTACTTTAAGAATCCTTCGCTATTTGAGATTTTGTTGAAATTCATTGCGAATTCAATCACTAATTTTCGCATGAACAGCCTTTAGCATTCATTCTAAACACACCGTCGTGTTGTCTGTTCCTCCCACTTTTTGCATTCGTAAACGTTCATACTCATCTCTAGTTCGACTGAGAGGAACCTGTCCATCATTTCATACTATTTGTGAATGGGTGGCAAAAATATGTAAACGAAAACGTCGGTGATGATATGCAAGGATTGGTTTCGCAACTGTTTTTACTGAACAATGGTACTGAAGAAATCCTTGGCTGTCTGAGACGCATGTTTTGAACATTAAACGATGGGTGAAGGGAATGGAATAGACATAAATATAAGTGAAATAAAGATTGGGTCGCATGATTGAATGCTTAAAACGGAATTGTGCACAGGTCTCAGCAAGCAGTGATTATACAGACAAACCTTATTGTTATGAACATCCGTTTCTGGTATATGAATATGATGCTTACAGACGATTGAAAGTGAAATGAACAAACCAAAATTGGTATTCTATCAAAAGTATGGCGAATATTTGAAAGCATTTCTACCGGATAATTTCGCGAAAGCTGGAGGTAATTCAATAATTGCATATTCAACGTGAGAGTAGGCGATGGTTCAGCTGATAGAAATTGTTTCATTTGGTTAGCACTGGAAAAGGAACATCACTGATGAATGTGATTTGTTGTCATTCAGTGTTTCGTCTATTTATGTGTTTGATTAGTTTTATTTAATCTCGAACGGCTTATTTCTGACATGCAAAGTGTAATTGTGGCAAAAGTGACAAGAAGATGTTTTTGAAATGAAACTGATTCGAAACCTTCTTGCTCCCGCAAATACATTCAACAGTTACTTGAAGGCGACAACGATGCAGTGGTTTTGAACGTGCTTTATCCTCTTCTTTCCGAAAAGGCTTCAATTCTTTCGGATATTCTAAACAAGAAGGTTGGTCACAACAGTCAGAATCTTTCAAAATTTGTTATTTGATTGATTTTCATGCGAAGATTTGTATGGCTCATAAAATAAGGTGGAGGAGATGAAGCAGTACAGTTCATCACCAATTTTTTAATGATATTCTGTTGCAGTACCCATCAGTGCCGGGTGGTATGCGGCGTGAGCATGTAACAAAAGCACATAAGGCTGATCAGTGGGCATTCGCCGCAAAATTCACATATCTTTTGAGTGGTTTTGGTGGTATTGTTCGTAAATTTGGAAGGTTTGTTTGGCGTCTTGTTGAAATTCATTAGGAATTCGCTTATTTGATGAGCAATCAAAATGATTGTTCACTGAAGGAAATGAGCTTTTCTCTAAATCATTCAGTGACATCTGGAGAGTCGGGTAATAGTCACTGATATTCGAGGATCTGAATAAATGAGATGATTTTGAAATGAACTGAATGTTCATTCAGTAGTTTTTGTTGTTGTTTTCAGTGCTGTGCAACGTTGTTCAGTGGAACGCTTATCACGTTTAGCACAACTGCAAATGGAGATGACCGGTCAGGAAAGAATGTTAGACTCATTCTTTGGTCTTCTGAAAACGAATCGCTTCGATGAAAATACTTCCACGGAAAATCTTGAAAAGGGTATCGCATATTTCCAGGTATCTATCCCACAATTTCATTTTCCGTAAAATTTCACTTTCTTTCACAAATTTTAAGAATCGAAAGTGTCTCATGAAAGACGTTTTTTGAAGTATTGTATTTAAGTATGTTTTTATATTTTTTGGTTGAACTCATTAGAAATGAGTATAAAACAATTAAGGATGAACACAGTCTCGTTCATGCTGCTTGTTTTTTGATGATTAGAAACTTGGATCAACGTTTCTGTCTTGTAGTTAGTTGCTGTCCTGTCCATGAGTGTGACAGGCTAACTTGCTGTTGAGGTCGTAGGCTAGCGTTCGACACGAATGAAAGGAATAGACACTCATTGTCAATGAGATGGAATGATTATAAACGAGAGATTGAATAAGGAAAGTAGACGTAATATAATACAGTATAAAATAGCAAGAATCATCGATAAAATCCTTCAGAATGTCTTCTCAGTGCATATGGATGGTGAATGGTTCAATGCGAATCAAGCATTCAACGATTTCATTTCACAGTTTCTGTTGGGTCTTAATTGGGTTAAAGTGAATATTCAACGCATCAACTTCTTCCTTATTGTGAGTT